TTTTTAACCTATGGTGACTGCCAAAGGCCATGGCGACCACCATGCTTCCAAAATGGCCAAGACTTGGTCTTTTGACGTAGAGCACGTGACCACCCATGGCCACCTATAGGGTGAACACCATGTGGGTCTCCATTAGTATAGAAAAGCTCATTTTTCTCCGTTTTTCACCTATTTCGCTTTGTTTCTCTGCTTGTGACATGTTTAGGACCAAAAACCTGAAATGCAGACAAAACAAACATAAAAGAGGAAAATTCAACATAAAATAATATTAAACCATGCACAAATCAAGCCAAATAAACGGTAAAATCTCGTGTCATCTGCCACCTCTGGAGAAATTCCATTTTTACCCCTAGAATTCAGAGATGTATCTCCAAACGCACCAAATTTCATTTTTATGGGGTGATTTTGGAGATGTATTACCGAAGTTACGTAATATCATTTTTTGGGGGTGAATTTGGAGATGTATTTCCGAAGATACCTAATGATTTTTTCGGAAGTACATTTCTGAAATAAACATTAAGTGATTTATGCATAACAGAAACATTGAAACATGCACATCGTAACATAGAGAAAACAAAACAGAAACCTTGAAACATTGACCTTGAAACATAAATATAATGTAAATGTTGAAACATTGATATTACATAGATATTACATAAATAATAACATAAATTAAACACTGGAAATCGAAATTACATATATATTAAAACATAAATTTAACATAACATATTGTTATAAACAGGTAACTGAGGACGTCGCAATATTTTGATAACATCTTCACCGATCTCTGAATCTTTATATCCAATTCAATCGGGCCTTTAGTTGAGTGTCGATGAAAAGTACACCACATAACCTTTAAATCATCATTCGTCTTCAGCTCAAACTTGGTCATTCAGTGTCAAGTGATTGTGAATGATACTCGAGCTTGACTGTCCTCTGATTTTCTGAATATTGCAAGAGAGAGTTGGGTATGACAATGAGATCAGAGAGAGGCGTATCCTCGAAGAACCTAAATTGAAGTGGCGCCATCGCACTATTGAAGTAGACAAAAGCAAGGTGAGAATATGTTTGTGTCATATCTAATTTATGGTCTGTGATATCTAATTTGTGGTGTATGATGTTGAAGAAAAGGTTTAGACACCCTATTTATATAAGATTTTGAGCAATTTGGTCCTAAGAATTCTTATCCTATGTCAGGGCATATTTCAGAAATACACTTTCGAAACAACCCCTTATATTTTAACAAAAATAAGGTGTTTTCGGAAGTACAATTCTGAAACATTCCCTGGTTGTTTTTTTTTAAATTCGGAAATGAATTTTCGAATTATGCAGAGACAAAATTATATGTTGGTAGAATTAATAACATTCAAAGATAAATTCACAATTTAACTGGTACAAGTATAAATCGGTAAAATGTTGAATAAATATATTATATAAGTATTGAATCATATAGATACATTCCAAAATGACTCGATTACATTGTGCACGCCAATACATACAAAAAATGATTCGATTAAATTCTAAAATTTACTAAACGAATGACTAACGCTTAAATCTAAAACTAGTTCTTTCTTCGACTTCTCCCTATTTAATTCCATTTAAACCCATTCACTTTTAAGACTTTGAGCTACATTTGAACCCATTCACTTTTTCATGTGCATTTGGCATCATTTACAAGTCAAACAAGGGTAGAAAATGGATATCATTGTTCATTCACCATTTTACATGCCATAAATTTTTTTACTTCATTTCAACCATTCAAACTAAAGAAACTTTGAACCAAAATGAATTTTGAATAGAACTTTCATCTTCATCTTCATATCATCATTATCCAATTTGATTTGAATCCATAATGAGACTAAGAGTGAATGTGGTATCATTTTATTTAAAAATTAAAATACCATTCAATTCATCATATTATCCTCAATAACAAAAATAAATAAATGAAACAATTGGAATTGAAATGAATCTTGTTCATTTGAATTCTATGACCATTTAATTGCCACAGTTTTACATCATCATCTTCTTTCTCAACCATTTAAAACTTAATTTTGAATAATTTTCATCATACAAGTGGTGCATGGTTACATTCACCAAAAACAAAATCAACAAAAACAGTTTGAAAATCAACACAAATGCATATTTGAAACACAAGAAAAATTTGCAATTTGAATTTCATTGATATTTACATTACAATATGAAGTTTGTTACAATTAAAGTTTGCACATGGTCCCTACACAAAACCACATACGGTTTGCATAAAAAATATTCCATGAAATCGGGATTTTTTCACACCAATTGTCCTCCTCACATGATTCTCTCAATTGCTCATACAATCTCACCCTAATAACTCATCAAAATTCACACGAATTTACAAATATTTTCACTCTTCACACACTTAAAAATGAAATCACTCACATGCTTACATTAAACCTAATTCCATCCTATATAAACCTATGTCAATCTTCACTCAACAAACAATCTACCACAAAACAGATGCACAAAAAAAACATATTGAATCTTCAAATCTGAAACTTCATCCCTAGGCATTTTTTATACTTGCAAATTGAGTCCTAGCCAGTTCTGAGAGTTTCATCTCCTTAATGATGAAACTCATTTTCTTGCCAACATCATTCAAACCCAAAATAGCCAAACACAGTGGAGATTAGAGAGAATTAAAGGAATTTAAGAAATCAGAAGGAGAAGTAGAGAAAACAAAAAGCAGAGGAAATGAAAACGAGTAAATATGAGACAAATTTACCTGGAGCTAGAATTTAGCCGAGGAACCTCATCCAAGTGCGATCTGCTTTAGCTTTTTTTTTCTTTTTTTTGCTGTAATTTCTGGGTACCACTTTGTTTCTGCGCTATTGCTGGTTATTTTTGTAATACCTTAAAACTCCACACTCAATTTATCACATAATTTAATTATAAAATGCAAATCATTTAGGATGTTTCACACATCAAAGATATCTGTAATTCATAAAAACATGTAATCGCATGCTCACCTTTATTTAGGGTATCATTGTAGCGGAATTATTATTAAGACAAATAACAACAATATTGCAATTTATGGCATTTAGTCTCACAAACGTTAACTTCATAACATAAGTAAAAGGAGTTGTAACATTCTACTCAAAACAACTTAGAAATCTTAACAAAACAAAATAGTCTTTAACTCCCCCCCTAAACGACATAAGAATTAATTTAAGTGTTTTCCCCCAACCCAATGTTACATGACCAGAGCAAGGAACCACTAGTTAAAACGATAAACTAAAGAAGTAACTCCAAGAACTATCTTCTACTTACTTCAACAATGCTACTCTTGAATATCTGCAAGTTATCCATGGTGGACAACATTAAAGCAAAGTGGTAAGAATACATTTCAATAATTAACGGTGAAAGCAAGCGGAGATAGAATAGTACACAACAACAAATATACATATTAATAAAGTCAATATCAATATATTAAGTATTCTCATCCAACAACATATCAACAACAAGCAACACAAATAAAACACTTATGCAATGTACTCAACACTGACTCAACATGCATGTGGTATCAAATATGAACATTCAGATTCATCTCACTCCCTAATCCACCACCATAGGATCATATTCCCTCTTGGAACCGGAGGACACCAAAAATTTCTACCACCACCATAGGTAAGGCTTCACTGATCCCCACTAGGATCAGCTACTCGCACATGAACCACCACCATAGGATCAAGGCTCACAAAAAAATGAATTTCAAACAATATGAATGTATGACTCTGAACATACAACAATAATACATACACTTTGGCTCCTTTCCTGACTGTGTGTGCCACCAACATCATAATCAACATCACCATTGCATGCATATAATTGGACATGCAACATCATTAACAACATCGTTATAATAACATCGACATAACAACATCATCAACATCAACACCATAACAACATCATCAAACTTCATCATTATAACAACGTCATCATAACATAACACATACGCAAACATTAATCAATATTACTACAACCAACAACAACAACAACTTCAACAACTCAACATATGCATATTTATAAACATATAATTATCACTAGTAGAAAAAGTTTAATTTACACCTTTTTTTAATACAATTTACACCTGTTATTGGAGGGTGTAAATTCAACGTGTGAGAAATGTCTAACGAATTTACACCCATTTAAAAATAGGCATAAATATAGGTTACGTTCGACCCTTTTTAAAATAAAATGGGTGTAAATTATTACATATATACATTTAAATCAAACAAATTTACACCCCATTGGATAAAAATTGGGTGTAAATAAAAGGTATATTACACCATTTTTTAAAGAAAATGGGTGTAAATTGTTACATATTTACATTTAAACCAAACGAATTTACACCCTATTTGATAAAAATTGGGTGTAAATTGAGATTATATTACACCCTATTTAATGAAAATCGATGTAAACTGTTACATATATACTTTTAAATTAAATGAGTTTACACCCCATTTGATAAAAACTGGTGTAAAATGATTAATGTTTACTATGAATGTCAGTAAATTTACATCCTATTTAGTTATCACCGGTGTAAAATATATGATAAAACTAAAATTTACACCCTATTTCTTCAAATAGTCACGTTACACAACTGCACACACTAATAACATATTGATGAATGTTGATGGGAACTACAATTTCAAAAATATAAAACTAAAAGATACTAACATGAATAAATTGGTGGAAAATAAACAGTATAAACTATTGTAAACCTCATGGCTAAAAGTTGGGAATCAAAAGATAAATAATTCTCAAAACATAATAATATATGTGTAGCCAAAAATATATATTCTCTTCAAAAATGTACTTGAAACAAGTCAAGAACAAGGATTAAAGAGTAAGTTAGCAATAGTATCCAATTCCAATGAATCATTATATCATTATTAATCTAGTTATGTACAAATTATTATTATAAACTCAACCAGGGGAAATGGAATCCCCGTGTCATTGCTTTAACTAGTTTTTATCCCATTTGAACTTGTTGTTAAACACTCAGTTGATTCTCCAACATACTTACTATACTCTGTAGCACCATGAAACATACTACTACTTGTTGCTTCTCCAGCAATGAATATTGTTAAAGGACATAAATAGCCATGAACATCTGTTACCTTCATGGTGGGATATTGATTCCTTTTACCAACATGATACTGGTTTTATCTTTCATGTGATTCCTTATGAATAAACTCTTTTCTCTGCATTTTTTTAATGAGCTCTAAGGGAAGACAATTTCTCTTTGAACACTTTTTTTATCTCAACTATTCTATGGACAAAAACAATATATATTAAGTTCGAAATGATTAGATAATCAAACTCTGGATAACTTGTTAAATAAAACTCATATATCATGAACTAACTAGAGACTGTTTGTATTGATTTATTTGAGTTTATTTAGACAGAAATACATGTGAGACTGTTTGAATATTGACCTCATTGTGCCTACAAAATTTTGTATCCTCTTTATCACTTTGCTCCCTAACTAATTTCATGATTTCATCAATAAATATTTGTTCAAAACCCTCGTAAGTTGGTGTTGATGGCCTATCATCATATCCAATTTCCATATCTTCCTCACGAGCCTCGTCTGTTTCTTGATTGACTTGGTTATGCTTTTTGGATTTGGCGTCAATTGATTCATCATCAGCGGCTTTGGCGTCAATTGATTCATCATCAAGAATGTAGGGATGTATTCCATTATTCTCTTGAGCTGCATTATAGAATTCAATATAAGATAAAATGTCGCGTCTATTTTTCAGTCATTTGACCATTTCTTGCTATATGATTATATCAAATTGAAACATAAAAACAAAAACAAATAGACGAATCAGAAAAATCAGAAATTGTAGCGTCGTTTGTGACAAATACCAAATGTCATGTGAAATTAGATGGTACAAAATATCATGTCAATGTCTTAAACCAAAGCATTTAAAGTACAACATTTCAAACAATATAATGGCAAGATAAAAGTTAAAGGTACTACTACTAAGTAAAAAATTGAAAGCATTTTTAAATCATGAAAGTAGACATTTCTTACTAGTACTACAACTTTTGTACCATATGAATAGCAATAAAGGGAGATGTGGCTAAAGTTAACAACACACATTTATCAACAATACAGTAATTAATCTTTATTAACACATATACTCTCAGATCAACTACTACATACACAAACTATTGTTTTGTCTTTGTGATTATCCATAAGGCTGTATAATAAGTATAAATCATAAGTAATTATTAAGCCTAACCAACATACTATGCGTGATTCAGTATGCATTATTTTTCACAACTCTTTTCTTGATACATCATTAACATTGCGATTTACTTCTTGAGAATTGATAGTAGTAAAACATTAACTACTTAATAATTAAATAGAAAATTTCATATTAACCATTTCCACGTTTTTAGACAAAAGATGTTTAAGATTAATTTGAGATGGCTGAAGTAAAGATAATATCAGAAAACCACCCATGTCAGGAGTAGAATATGAAAATGAAAGAATCATAACACGTCGTATCGCAACAGAAAGGGCTACCGGCATTCCATTTGTCATCTTCATTGTTGGGAACCGAAAGTAAATAACCACTTCTCGGCTTGACAGGTTCCAGGTTAACATATCTTGTATGACCAAGCAATGGTGAAATTCATGCAGCTTTATATTTGAAGGGACCCCAACTATGACATTCCATCAAACACGTTGAGATCAGTATCCACCTCGATTTTCTAATATCTAGTTCTGCAAGAAGAGATTCCATCTTAGTGAACTTCTGACCAGCTTTGTTCCCAGTCTATTTCCCAACCTCTTTCCATGGTGACATCGAGGTTTGAAGCTTCGCCGACGACCTCAAAATTCAGAGTCTCAGAGATGGCATAAAACATTGGTTTCCACTCTATCTTTGTGGATTTGTTCCCTCAAAATGCGTCTCATTAGATTCAAGTTAAGAAATATAAGAAAATGCGCTTAATGTTGCCGAGATAAGAATGTTATGTTTTAGATAAGTAACCATGCAATGATATGACATAATAGGAATTTGAATGAATATATTGAAGGATATTAAAATACTGAATAATTCCATTGCTCTTGGCAAAGTACTGTATTGATCCTGTCAAGTACTACAGCTAGAGTAGAAGTAGAAAAACAAAACTAGAATGATAGTTCACAAGTCCATACACCAGTGAATAAATCAATTATATAACCAACAAACTCCTAATTTACTTTAACCAATCAAACCACTACTTTCCATAATACACATTTGACAACATTGGATTTTTAGAATGACATGAATCAGAAACTTTAACAACTTCCGATCATTCAGGTCAGGTATGATAGCCAAGTAGTACATTTAAAGCATACCTGAGAGAGTTGTCTACTTTCATGATTTCCATGTAGAATGGTAATATTATCTAGGTATCTATAAAATCATACAAAAAATGAAAATATGCATAAATAAAAAGTACTAAGAAAGACACAATAACAAGTTGAGATCCAAACACAATCCATAAATTAGAAAATCTCAAAAACACAAAGTAACTGAAGTATTATTCAAACCCACATGAACACAATCTAAGTTAAAACATATACAATCAAACTTAGCTTTTATAAGCAAAAGTCACTAACAAAGTTAATCGTTTACGAAGTAAAAGAAAAGAAATTACCAAAAATACGGATACCGACTTTAATTGGTTTAGGTTTTGATTGAGAAACCTTCTCTTGTATGGAAAATATAAGATGAGAGAGTTTTGGCACCATACTTTTATCTAAGATAATGTTTCGAGGATTTATGTCACAGTGAAAAATCGTGCGCTTTGCTCCAATGTGAAGGTAGTTGAAATTCTAGCACACATATACTAAATATCAAACCAGATGTTACGACACTGGGATCAATCATTAATAACAATAAAAACTTTTTTGCAGATAAAATAAGTTGCTGGAAAGAAATAACACAAGTAAATTGTTAACCCAATTCGGTGCAATGTCACCTACTTTGGGGGCATCCAAGCCAAGAAGGAAATCCACTATAATAGTATTAGTTTGAAGCTTAAGCAACCCCTGTTTATAACTTCTCTCCTAATTATTACCCATACAATTTATACCTAGGACACTCCTAGATATGAGAGCCCCCTCTCACTTCTCACAATCACACCCCTGTGATTTTCAACAACAATGATAGACAAAAGTAGAAGATACTCTTCAAAGATAAGACCAGTTCTGCTTAAAAGCTTTTGACTGATGAACAATAGAAAACTTGACACACAATCCACCCTTGTTTAAAAGCTCATGAGTGATTAACAATGAACAATCTAAACTCAATCTAACTCTAATATTATAAGATAATAGAGTGAATCATAATGAACAAAGAACAAACTAAAAACCTTAAACCCTTATCTCATGCACACGATTTTTCTAAGTGTTTTTAGGTATATAAATTACTTATATAAAGACTCTTGCCAATATGAACTTGGACTCTTCACGCAAATCCAATCTTCCAGCTGCAAATCTTTTGCAAAATCTTCTCCACAAAATAGGAACTAAAATACAAAGTTTCCTAAAAAGTCTTCAAGATCCTTTTTATGAAACCAAATTAAATCTGCAATGTTCCTAAAATATCCTTGTTTGGCTGCAACCATATGAGAACTAAGATCGTTCAGAATCTCATATTTTAAAAACAAATCTTCAAAGATTTAAAAACCTGAACAGTACTGATGTTATGGTATAACATGTCACAACATATATGTCTTCAGTGATGTCTGATCAACATGTCAAGACATTTGTCATAACATCTTACAATGAACTATGTTTTAGCAATGTTACTGTCAATCATAAAACCATGGATCTAACAATCTCTACCTTTGGCAAATTTTGGATGAAAAAACATTTGGAAGAAATAGCTGGAGATACAAACAAAAACAATATAAAATAACAATAAAAAAACAAGATGCATGAACATCATGCATACTTGAAAATCTAGCAAACAAAAACAACCAGAGTTACATGCAACAAACCCTTACAGAGAGACCCAACCTCACACACATAGAGAGAAATAAACTCTTACACTCCAAAAATCTATCAGAGACCAGATGTGATGATATCATGTCCTACATCACAAAAATAACATCATAGTAACACACTATCTGTGAGAAATAACTTCTCAACACACAATCACTATGCTTCCCCTATTACAAAATATCAAGGACTCCCTATTACATAAAATCAAATACCCCCTGTCTCATGGAATAAAAACTCCCCCTCAAGGGAACAAACTTCACAAAAAGAACAAGCTTCACAAACTCTAAACAAAACAACATCACAAGAGAACAAATCCAAACAGAAACATTACCAATTCACATCAGAGACATACACCAGAAATGGATACAACCCAACTTCACATCAACATCTCGTAACATAAGGTATGATTTCTCAAGCTACCATACCATATGTGATCGGTGGAAATAGAACTGGCTGTTTTGGAATGCTGGTTCACGTCCGCGTTTAGCAAAATGTCGCGGTAAGCAAGAGTCGCCACCGTCTTTTATTTTATCCAACAAGGAAAGGAAAAAAGCACAGAAAAATTCTTTTTCGAGATGTTTCTCGGTTCAGGAGGTAGATTATAGAAAGGGAAGGTGTTAGCACCCTTTCTATCCGTGGTTATCCACGGGCTCTTAGGTACTTGCTCACTATGTTTTCAAAAATGTTTTGCTTTTCTTGTGTTTGTGGGTTTTGAAAAAAGTTTGTTTGAAAACTTCGATTTAACTCTTGTATCTGTCCTCAAGAGTGTATGAAGTGTTTGTTTGAAAAACTTTTGTCAGAAAAGTGTAGGTGCGAAAAGTATTTTTTGTTTTGAAAGAGCAAGTATCTAAGAACCTCTACCTACTCAAAGGAAATTAAGCTGTGTAAATGTCCTTTAGACAGTACTATCCCACTATTGAGAAGTAGGTAGCACCGTCGTTGGAGTTTTTCGGGTCAATTCGATTATAGGGACATGTGGTCACCAAAGCAATAGTAGGACGCCTTAGCGGTAACCCTAATGTCCTAGATCCTTTTCCATCCGAGGCAACCGTTTCGAGGCAACTTGGATCTTTAGACAAGAGGGCGACCTCTAAAACACCCTATACTCAATGACCACGTCGAGGCAACCAAGTGAGGCGTACCCTAGGAGTGGCATGTGCGAGTGTGTCAAGTTTCAGTTAAGTTATCTTTGTACATGTCATGGTGAGCTACGATTGATTTTAATTTGAGGATCAGTCTTGTCATGCATAGCCTAATTAACATACATCTAGCAATTAATAGTTGCGGAAAATAAATCTACGCTATTACAAGGCGTCGGGTATTTACATCGCCAAAAACAAACCCTTGAAAAAGTAAATTGCGGGAAATAAATAAAAGCAATAAAAGAGTCCTAATTAAAGCTATTACATCCTTGGAGCAATTACATAAATGATCAAAAACTAATCAAGAATAATCACACGCGTGAGAAAAATTGGGTCGGAGAAGTCCTTAGGGCTTTGACCCTTTTTGAGAAAGAAAGAAGTTTTTGCTGTTTTGTATTTAATTAAATTAATCCTAAAACTAATTAATTAATAAAAAGAAATATTTTTGGTTTTTTATGTATTAAGGAAAAAATAATAAAAAGATTAAAATTTGTCAAGAACCCTAATTCTATGTTGATTTTAAATTATTATGAAAATATTAAAATTAACCTAATTAAAACTAAGTTAGTTAATTATATTTATTTACAAAAATAACTAATTAAGGGTGAAATTAATTTTAATAAATAATAATAAAAAAATATTATATTTCAGTTTTCTGAATTTATTATGAAAAATTAATTTGGTCAATTAAATAATAATAATAATAATAATTAGTAAAACAATTAAATGAAAAAAATATAAAAAGAAGAAAAAGGAATAAACCCAGGGGGGTGTTGGCCCAAATAGGAGGTGATTCTGGAAATTCTCAGGCCCAATTATGTTCAAGCCTGTTTGACTTTGATGATCATCCATGGCGCGTGTTGACTGGGAGTATGATGGTCTTCCACTCAGGACCATTGGATTTGAGTTTGAGGCCACTTGGCGCCTGGGAATTGGGAGCACATGGTAGAACATCTTTTGAAACCTTCATGTGATTATGTGAAAGAAAAGAAAATAAATGTTTTGGGGGACCTGGGATTCGAACCCAGGTCCCAGTGTTCATTGGACAATCGCTCAACCACTACGCCACCTGCACCTTTTTGTTCTTTAGATAATAGGCATTTATTATATTGGGAAATTAACAAATATGCTGTAAAACACAAAAAACGCGCGTGTTTTCAAATTGCCCAATGGTATGCTAACACGTCCTCGTCTTCTTCCTTTGTACCTGTAAAAACAAAATCAGATAGCGGGGGTTTTTAACCCCCCCACTATATGCTTGCACGAAAAATAGCGATTAGAAGTATGGTGAACATAAATGTTTCGCGAGGGGTGGGTTGCAACCGTCTTGGCCTCGCGATTTCAATGATGCATCTCACAGGTCCCAATTTTTCTGGGTTTAGAAAGCCCCAATTCAAAGCTCACGAACCCTAAAAATTCAGCTATGGTATCTTTTGATTCAAGACATTATAATTTAATTAAATGATACCATTAGCTTCGTATGGTTCCTAGCCATGCAAAACAATCATGAAAACGTGTTAAATGCACATGAATCAAGAAATATAATTTTGAATAAGAATGGCAAACCGTGGTTCTGTGTGCAACGATTCCTTGAGTTTCAACGCCTGAATTTGATTGTAAAACGTCCCTGGGAACTCCTGCAATGTATTAGAATCAACAAAAGTCCTTAAATCGCCCTAGAATGCAAAAATCAGTTTTCAATTTTTCTTGAATTTTCTTGAATTGGCTAT